TGGTAGCAATGGTGGTATAACAGCAGTAGCGGTAGTAGCAAACGTAGTTATAGAGCGGGTGGCAGAAAAGTGGCGACAGTAGAGCGATGTTAAGTGAGCAAGTGAAGAGTGAGTAAAGTACTCCTTAAATGTCCATCTCTAGTATTACGAGAGTAAGTAAGTAATGAGGCGTTAGAGGTTACACGTAGCTACTAGACGAGAGACACAGAAAATATACACGATCATAAGTAATATAATAATAATAATTAATTAATTAATAATAATAATGACGATGACGATATGGCAATAATAATAGTAACCAGAATAATAAGTATAATCATAATACGGCAATAATAGCGAGAAGGAGAAGAATTATTATGGCAAATGTAAATAATCGCACGTAGTGTGAGAAAAAACGCCCGGAAAAACGGACGCCTCGCTGATGTCGAGAGAATTCTGCCGGCACACGATTCATCTCTCTCGTGTATTATTTCCAGCGGCATTTAATATATGCCAGCATTTATCATTTAATCCTTTATCAATTACGATTAATGTTCTATGCGACGCGTATGCGACGATAAGCGCACCAAGTGTATCTGAAATCGCGAGTAAAAGTCACTGTCCGCTCGTGCGGTTAATCGAGAAATGTTTCATATGAATTCATACGAATGTTACACCGTATTCTACTGGACGAAGCATTCGTATCGAAGTAACACGATGATCACAAGTGACCATGAGTGAAGGGAGAGACCAATCGTTGTTCGAAGATTCTCCGATCAGCGAGTTCGCGCTTACGCGCCGACGTTTTATATGCCCGCCGGCACCTTTAATTTGCACTAATGTTCGAGATCCTGGGCGCCCCGCCGAGACCCCGCGTCCTTCCGGTTTCAAGATAAGGAACTCGCGCGCGAATCGGCGTCGGCTGAATAAATAAAGTAATGTCTTAGAAAAAAAGAACCACGACGCTCGATACGTGGGAGTCGCGGGACAGACGCTTCTCCGGGGGGGGACCAGCATCCTCCCTCCGCCCTCGCGATCTCCCGCTGACTCCCGGACTAGACACAAAAAGGTACACATAAATAGGACAACATACATATGTTTACGTTTTGGTTTCCTTGACTATAAATCTATCCTTAATCGAATGTCGCCTCACTCGCAATTAAATACGCGCGATCCTCATCCTCACGTTCGCTTCGCGCACTCCGAGATCCTCCGGTCAATCGTTCTCCGGTGAAGGACGCCTCAGGAAAGGAGAAGTGACGATCGCGATCAAGGACTGTCCACAGTTGTGGATGATTCGGGAGAAGCGGGGGTGCGGGAAATCACTTTGGAAAGTGATTTCTGCAGTAGAAAAATCACATTGAAAAAGTGATCCTTGCGAACTACTCACAGTTGCGGAAAACCACCTTGAAACGCGGCTGTGCAAAGTCACCTTGGGAAAACGACTTTCGGAATGGCGAGCTCGTAGCTACTTTGGTAAGCTCGCTACTTTGGTAATTTATCGATCCATCGTCCACTTGAAAGTTGCGGAGAATCGTTCGTAATCGCGCTGCACGAGCGAGCGTGAGGAGTTCGGCTCGCCTGCCTCGCGTCGTTTCACTTAACCGCACTCGTCGTCATCGCATCCGCCTTTAACTTTCTAATGTTCGTCATTAATATTTATCTATTTTTGTATTCTTCCTTATGCGCGAGGGGAGCGCGTAATCGCGCCGACAACGCGGCAGTTTACACGTAGACTAGATGCATGACTTCTTAATCTGATCCGAGATCGGACGTTGACCGATTTTTTTCGTAATTTTATCACATACTCGTGCACCGTCCTCGAAGTACATGCAGAAAAATCTTTTCCTTCCGGAATTCTGCGGTTCCGAAGAAGCTCAGTTCATATAAAGTCCGCGAAATATACAATTTTTTTATAATGTTAAATTTCAAGGTGAAAACAAGTCGCGTCACAGCATTCTATGACGCGGAAATAGAAAATGACAAACGTTACACGTTCTTTCTTCCGCTTCACAGACGATACCGTTTGATCTCGCGTATCAATCAACATTTAGGAATAATATTTTCCGGAAGCATCGAAATGTGCAATACAAAATGCGTAAAAATGTAATGCTTAAGCAATTGCGTGGCCTCAATATCTCTATCATATTCTGAAGTAAAAGCTATACGTACGAAGACCAAAGGAGTACATTTAATTACTTTCAATTTCTATCCGACGAGAGAAATCCGCTCGTCCCGTCGGTCGCAAAATCTCTGAAAGACTGTAAAAGAGGCCGTGAGGCTTCGTAACGTCATAAAACGTCCCCTCGGACGGTGCACTCTCGCGGAGAACCAATTGTCGACAGTCAAAGCATCCGATCCTGCGAAAGCGCGTTTTTACTACCTATAATATATAAGTACGTCTTATATAAAAAAAAAAGAAAAAAAAGGAAAGATACGCGCGTGCCAACGGTACGTATGAGCGACGATGGAGTGAGTGTACCTGAGCGCCTGACTAGCATGAAATACAACTAGTTCCGCTACTAGTTCACGGTATCGTTTCGCGATCCCTCGGGCCGTACTCTCTCGTTCGCACCGATCCTCGATCCGCTGCTCGCGATTTCTTTTCTCTCTCTCTCTCTCTCTTTCTCCCTCGGGGAATCTCGCCCTGCCGAGAGTAAATACGTCACTCGGATGTTCGTCAAGCGTGGTAACGTTTCTTAATTGAACTGGGGTTACATCTTAAGTACATCGTGCCCGCACACGTGAAACGCCCTTCGTGCCCATTCGAACTCGTGAGTGCGAGCCCTGCCCCGACGCCTGTTCTCTCCCTCTCTCGCGACGCTCCGATTTTTCGCATGCCATTCCACGCGTTCCCGCGCGCGTTTCCTCCTGCACTGCCCCCATCTTCGAACACCCTCGATATCGACGTCTTTCGTCTCGCACGATTAATTCAGTAGTTAATTTAATTAATACCTTTCGTGAGCCTCGACATAACAATCAGATCTGTTCCTCGCTTTCACGAATTTCTGCGATATCTATCTCTTCTATCTCTCTTTCTCTCTCTCTCTTTCTGTTCTTCCGTTTTCCCTTTTCTTCGCACTTCGTTCGTACCCTCAACGTATTCTCCCCATCTGTCTCTCTCCCGTTCTCATCCACACGACGCTAATACTCTCTAAAACTTATACATAAAACGAGTATGTATAACCACCTACTACTAAGCACTGTGTGTGAGTGTTTCTCTGAGGTTTCATTCTTTTATACTCCCTTCTACCTTTCTCTCCCTCTCTCTCTCGCTTGCTCTCTTTCTCTCTCCCTTTCACACACTCTTTCTCTCCCTCCCACTTACTCTTTTTTCTCTTTCTCCCAGCATTTCGCTCGCGATCAGGAAGCGCGAGGTGCCGTCACGTGATCCACGTGTTCCCCGCGACGAGTTTTTATTTCGCGCATAAGCGCATCTCGAGAGGCCTGAATATACATGTCCTTCCTACGACAGCCTGCCGTTTCTCAACGCCACGCGTTTTGTTGATCGTTCATTTTAGTTGTACCGTGTGTGTACGCGTGTAAGTGTATGCGTGTGTTGTGTGTCTATTGTGTGTGATTCAGTCTCACAGCCCGATATCGTCGTGACTAACCCGGTCATGGATGTACGTTAAGTAGAAAAAAAAATCGGCCGAAGTGCCCGACGGAGGCTCTCGACGCATCGTCAAATGCTAGTCGAAGGGAAAGTCCTTTTTCTCTCCCCCTCGCCCTCACTTCGCTTTACTCTTCGGCCTTACGCGCCGCTTCTTTCCTCGAGCTCTCCCCGTTCTGCCGTCCTATTCGCGCGCCCGTGGACGCCACGTGGTCCACAAGCGCTCTCACGTACACATACATATAAATCGGCAATATGTATGTACAGGACCCGCGACCGGTCACTGTGCGAGCCACGTAAAGTATAACACGAGCCACGCTCCTTTCTCCCTCCCTCCCTCTCTCTCTCTCTTTCTCTCTCTCCTTCCGTTTCCTTTTCAATTATCCCTTCGTATTATCCTCTCGCGTCAATTGGTCGGAAAATTTCACACCTTAAAAGTGACTAGAAATAAAATTTTCTAGTCCCTCGTTTTCCGTATGAATTTCGTTCCTCGGCGATCCGTATTAATGATTGTAGAGAAACAAGAGAAAGGCAAAAGCGCATTTCGATCTCTTGGTCTCCTTGTCAAATTTCTCGCGTGGCCGCGTGCATGTCAATACATATGTTACATATGTACACGCCGAGGACATTCCTGCTCCTTTCCGCGATCTCGACTGCGGTCGGATCGCAAGAACGGAAACACGAAAGAGAAGCGCGGTGAGAAACGGAAGGAGAATGAGAAGGCACGATTATTCGTACGCGTTAATACCGCGCCTTCTTTTCTCACCCCTCTTATTTGCTTTCGAGCTTTCCCGCGCGCACAGTTCACGGTTACGTATCGGACAGTCGAACGATTCAACTCACTTCCGTCTAATTATTTCTCGCGCGGCCTCCCTCGTCCCTCTTTTTCCTTCATTTTTACCTTTCTGCGTTCTCACACGCACACATACGCTCTATTACTCTCTCTTTCTCTCTCTCTCTCTCTCTCCCCCTTTTTCTCTCGCATACATTCCCTTCCACGCAACTACGCTTTCTCGCTCTGTTGGAGCTTTTTGTTGCCGGTCTGACGATTATTGTTGGGCTTGCTCTTCAGGGAGGTCTGCTTGGCTTGCGCGTGCTGACGCTGCTGTTGCTGCTGATGCGTTGCCGGGTTCGCCGCTCCCGAGACGGCCATCTCGATCGCCCGAGTGAGATCGTGTATGCGCGACGGTAGGCGCTGAAGGAACGGCTGCCGTTGGCCCTTGGCACCTCCGTGAAGGATGCCGCCGCCCCCGACGTGACTGTTGATATTGTTGTTGCCACCACTGACAATGCCGCCGCCCGGCGCCTGACCGGCACCCCGCTTGTTATAGAGGTGACCCGCCGGCACCGGCACCGGCAGCTGTACCACTGCCGCAGTACGTAGCAGCCGATGGCGACGATGATGGTAGGGCGCCGCTACCGCCGCCGCGTCCGCCGCCGCGGCCGCAGCCGCAGCCGCGGCCACCGCCGCCGCTGCCGCCTGTTGCTCGTCCTACGCCGCCTTGCTCTTGTTCGTCTTGAAGCTGACCTGGAGCACGCGGTTGCCCAGGGTGTAGCCGTTCAGACTCTGTATGGCTACCACCGCCTCCTCGTAGTTGGTCATCGTCACGAAGCCGAAGCCCTTGCACTTGTTCGTCTGCAGGTCGCGTATGACCTTGACCGACTGGACGGCGCCGAACGGCCCGAACAGCTGCCAAAGCACGTTCTCCTCGGTCTCGGGCGCAAGGTTGTACACGAAGATGCACCAGCCGGCGCCGTTCATCGTGTTACCGGGCAGCATAGAATTCGCGAGGAGGTCACCCGCCAGCGGACTGTACCTGGAACACGGTCGCCGGGCCGGTGATTAAACGGACATCGTCGCCCGGTGGCGGCTGATAATGTGGCCGCGGAGGCGACGATTGGAAGGACGAACGATGCTAAAACGTGACTGCTTCGTGTACAAGAAACTTTATCATATATTTATATGATAAAGTATATTTTCCATAATATTCAATATATAAATCCATCTGTTTTAAATCAAAGATACAAAAATATCTTTCTTTTTTTAAATAATTTAATGTATAAAATATAACCGTAATAATTTTATATAAATTAAATCACTAGAAATCTTTTTTTTCAAGAAATTATAAATTTGATATCTATGGAAATCTAAAAATAAAATTTAGCACAATTAACCTTTAATAATAATACGTTATTTAAATTTTTTTTATAAATACTGTTCTGTTTTTATTTTATATTATCCTTTCACGAAGAAACGCTTGAGCACCGTTTACTTGAGGTTATAAATATACTTGTTGGAACTATATCTTTTCTGAATAGAAAAGTATATCTATATAAGATTTACATTATACGCTACTCGCACAATATATCGCAATCCCAATGAAATTAAACGTGTGAAAAGATGCGAATATATATCGATGTGAACATTTATTGCGCGTGATGTAATCGATTTTATTTACATAAATAATATTTTCGCAGACATTTAGAAATTGCAATGGCATAAAAAAGTGAGAAAATATGTGAAACCACGTAAAGACTGACTTTAAATCTTGTAACTTAATACATGAACATTGTAAGAAATCATAGTACAAGTGACATAAGGACAGCGTGCAAAATTCATTTGTACATAAATATACATTACAAAGACATGCGTTACATGTAAAATGTACAAATATTGTGTATCACATTTCGGTCTGTTTAACACAATGTATTTAAAAATAAAAATGACAAGTTCAGAGAAGAATTAAATTTGAAAGTTTTCTAAGTTCCGAATATATTATTTATTTTTTAAAAATCTATAAAATACATTGATCTGAAGAACTGAATCTGATTTTGACTAAAGAATACCAAATTCATATAACAAATTATTTGAAAAGCAGTATTTTTTCCAGATTGTTTCAATAGTTAAATTTTACTAATAGTATTCACATTTTTTTATACGTTTCATAGATAATGATTAAAGAGGATTATTGCAATTATATGCAAATCTTTATATATAATAAATTTTTGCAATACAAAATAAAAAAGAAGAGAAAAAAACCACAAGAGTACAGATAGATTTTAGTAAATAATGATGCTTGTTTTGAAATCAAGGTTATGAAATAGTAAATAAAAGTAAACAGAAGTTAAGTAACAAGATCATATCGAGTACCGCGAAATAAAGTCGGAGTTTATATTTCGCGTAAAGAGACGGAAATTTCCAAGTACATCGCGATAATCAAATATCGATGTTTAATAAAGTATGATTATATCTTTTCTCTGAGCCATGCGCTCCTTATGAAGGAAATACAACGTAATAAACAGAAAAAAAGGACGAGGTTAAACAAAGATACATTATCATTCCACATTCATGCATTTATATGCACAGGATCACATAAGTACAGAACGTGTTTCTCGAAACGCAAGCCATTTATCCTTGGGTAACACTCTTCGGTGAAAATCAATGTTAATTTATCGTTAAACAAACGACAGAAAGAAATTTTTCTTTAAACAGACAGGTGAGGTTTTAGAGAACAGGGATAAAGCACACGTCCCATACGAGGGTACTTATAGAAGTGAGGGGATATTTACAGTTGTAAAAATATCTACGTACCTACTTGACGTCACAAGCCGCGTTAAAACAGGGCACATCTCGGTGAGTACTCAGTATAATGCCGAGGCCACAGTAATTACGTATGCATTCGTAACAAACGTTATTTCGTATACCGCGAAGTGGTAAACGTATACGTGTGTTTTCTCTTTTCTCTTTACGCCTATACGTAGAGAGAGACGTGTGCATCGGTTGGCTATCCGACCGGCGTGCACGCGTCTGATTTTCAATTTTACGTGGCTGTGTATGTGTGTGCGTGTAAATTGTGCGAGTGTATGTGTGTGAAGGATCGAAAAAAAAAAGATGGAATCATAGGGACGAGGAAACGATAGGAGTAACATCACGTTGCTTGCGTGTGAGTTCATCTCGTTGAACATTAAGCATATGTACAGATATGTACACTCGTATGAGTATCTGCGCATCCGGTTTCTCTTTGTACACATATACAACAATGTGAATTTAGAGTTAAATATTTTCAAAAGGCAAAATCGCCAATTTCCGCAAAACTTTGTTTGTAGTTCAAGCGGCTTGATCAAACTTTGGGTGAAATATCAACATTTTGCATGCAATATTTTTAGACAAAATATTTTCAAAATATTGTAAGAATACATGTAATATATATAGTCTTGATTTTTTATGGTTATTAAAGAGAGATGCCAACTCGAATATATAATTATTTTCGAGACGAAAGCCGTTTGCACATTACGTAATAGAAACAATAAAAATCTAAAATATTCTATAAGCTATAATTATCGCAAATATTGTGGCAGTTTAATCGTTACTAAAGGAATAAATTGCGCTATAAATAAGTGGAAGAATGAAGAACCAAGGAGGCCTGGCGGAACGAAAAAAAAAACGTGACGTCAATATATCTACCACTGTGTCTGCACAACTGAATCAAATCAAAGTCAAAGCAAAAAGGCGTGAAAATGCGAAAGTGATGAAAAAGATCCCGTTACGAAGTTGACTGCAAATCTTTGGGCTCGAAAAAAATTGTACGCGTGGAAATATACAAGATCGGACAAAGATGACTTGAGAAGATTCAAATACCAACTATCGACAAACAATTAAAAATTTTAATCATTTCATTTCCGTATTCGTAACGAGTCGAAGAGAAAGAGAATAAAAGAGAGAAAGAGAGAAAGAGAGCGAGAACAAAGCCACACAACGGAAGTGAACGAAAATCAGGAGCGGAAAACGTAGTGGTAGTAACGAAAAAAATACTGACCTCTGTAAGCCTTTGTTAATGGCAAGCATGGCCTTGCCAGTGCTAAAACAAAACACAAAAAGAACAACGTAAGAAGAGAGATACTCCGGGATTGAGCCAAAGTCGGGGGATAAGTTGGGCGCTTCCTGTGCCATCGTATTTTACTTCTACCCCTACGTAGCGGTGCAATTTCCCGAATAAGACAAGGGGGAGGACGCAATGCGGGACTTAGGAGAGCGAAGCGGTTCATAATATACGTTTTCCCGATCGATAACCATGTTCTTGTCAAATCAATTTTCATCAGAAAGGATAAGACAATGCTACAATAAATTTTGATAATTTAATTTATCATATAATTGTTGATAATATGTATTGCGGACAATGTTTAGCGTACAAAAAAATAATTTGCTCAAATAGAGTGCAAAAATCAAAATTTTGAAAATTAAATTGTCCACATAATGTGAGATAAGAAAATAAAATGGAATTCGTGTTTTATTAGACCGCTTCGACTCTCTGTCAAGAGGGGAAGCCAAGGGATTATTGTCGCGGCAATGGGATAAGCGTTGCTTAGGTCAGGTCAAGTTGTGACCGTATTTTCTAAACATTGACAAGGAAAAAAATAATACAGCAATACTACAGTAAACTCGCCACTAACCTTGACACTTAAAATATAATGTTCAACGTATACACAAAAAAAACTTTTAATTGCAGTTGCAAAATGAAAAAAAAAACACTATTTAGAGACTAAAAAGGGAAAGCCTTGTTTTAAGTATTTCATTTGAGATGATAAAATGAGAGAAAATTAATTAGAAAAATTACACACTTACAGATATTGTAAATATTATGAAAAATAAGATAGAAATCTTAACAGAAGTGCCAATATTTCAAAAGAGTTTCGTTCAGCATAGCTTAACAACCGCCATTACCACCCTGCCGGAATGGAAATGGAACAACGAAAGACAAAGCGATAGCGAAGCGCTACTACACTCGGTTAACGCTTTGTACTTATCGAAAGAATCAAACGATCAATACGTCTGTGACGAGTTTCATAGAGAATTTCGGTACCACTGAATATATTATAAACGGAATTGACATATGCGATCAATGGAGATGTACAGTGCGTGTATTGTCTCCTTCGTACTTGCGAAGATCATATGCATAATAGATATCGGTCTTGATAGCGAGCATCGTGACTTATATGTATCGTACGGGAGGCTCGAAACGAAAGAGCGACGATAATTTTGTAAGTGTCCGTAGTTCTTAATTCCGTGATAATTGTCGTCAGACGTCGGAATGATTATGAGGCCATTTCTAACATAATTTTATACGCAATAATTTAATAAAAGAATATCGTGAGGCTGACGACAAGTATTAATAGAGAGCGTAAGACTATTTTATGTTATGCTATGCTCCTCCCTGTGAGACTGGCCAAAGATCAGCTTAATTTTAAGATCAAAATTATATCATCGCGTTTCTTCGCATTCGATATATTAATCCAATGTTAAGTTGTAACGTTATAAATTATACACGTCTGTCTCATGAGATCTACTGATCGCTGACCTTGAAGATGGCGTGAACGAAAAAAAAATGGCACAAATCAAGACTTATTATGATCGATTGAATAAACAATTGCAAGTGCAAAAAATATGGAGGGTCAACCGACGTTTCTTTCTTACTTCTTCCTGGATTTTATCGAACGTAAATTTATTATTTGGCAAGGTCATGGAGCCCTCCGACATCGCCCTTGACAGGTTGTTTCATCGATATGTAAGTTTAATAGATACGTATCGACTGTAAGACGGGCAGACCTTACTAAACGGAGTTAATGCGATTCTTTGTAGATTGTAACTTTGAAAGCTCTTTATACTCTTTTGCCAATTTTTCTTTTTGGCCTTCAAATTGTTAATAATGTAACTTGTAAAAATTAAAAATAATACGTATTTATATCCCACTATAAGTTAGGAATAATAAAAAACATATTTAAAAAAACTGATGAAACTTTTTGTCATCAAACGTCGTATTGACCTCTTGTGTAATTAAGTAAAAATATAGAAAATACTTAAATATTTAAAAATTACCGTGTAAGAGAGAGAGTAACGCAAAAGTCTAAGCAATATTACCCGAAAGTAACAGAGCGTGCACAGTCACAACTTAAAATAAAGAACATGTAAATGCACACATATAACTGGATAGTGTCGAAGGAGGAGCTTTGTGCCGACTACTCGATAAATGTAGAAGTAACAATGATTGTTGCGATCGACTGATCGATCAATCGGCAAGTTTGTTTGCTACTGACCGCTTTGTTATTAATCAATTCGCTTTAACTTATTAATAAATAATTAAAAAGCAGTGTCATTATAGCAATTAGTTTTTTTGTTATTATAAATTTAGTATATTTTGTAAATAATTTTTCTCAAATGTATTCCGAATAAGAAAAAAATTGTCTTGCGTTTTACGATGTTATCAGACTGGCAAGGACTCGAACTTATACGCAAACGATCGATCAATCCAATCGAGTATTTGTGTTTGCGCAGTGTCTGTGTGTGTCAAGAGAGAGAGAAAATAGAATGAAAAGGACGAATAGTTAGATAGATAGTTAGATAAATAAATATACAATTGGATAGATAAATGGATGAATGAGGAAAGGTCCATGGGATAAGTAGATAGTTCAACAGACAACTCAATTTGTAAGTACCCAAATAATTACAAACTGATCGACAGAGAAACAAAGATGGAAAGAAAAGAAAGCGAATAGACGATGCACGACCAACTGACGTAGGATTTCAGATACAGGTGTTAGGATACAGATATGTTCACGCTTACATCCAGAGACATATCGATATCATCTTAATAATCGCGTTAATTGATCGCGCAACACTTTTTAACGAAAATTGAACAAAAAAGCCGTAAAAATAGAAAGAAGCGGGAAGAGCGAAAAGAAACAGAGCAGAAAAGAGAGAAGAAAGAAGAGAGAAAAGAGAGAGAGAGAGAGAAGAGAGAAAGAATAGAGATAGATAGAGAATCCTTGGGTAGAGCGAGTAGAGGCGAGTAGGTACCTGGATAGTGGCGACAGTGGAATGTACCTGAAGCGGCCGGTCGGATGGTGGATCGGCCCGCCGAAGCGTCGCGTGGCCTGTGGTGCGAGATAGGCGGCCAACGGCGGTATCGCTTTGTTGTTGTTGCTTGGATTGTTGGCGAACTTGACGGTGATTGGCTCGGATGAGCCCTTCGGTATGGTGCCGTTCAGCTCTTGGATCGCCCGCTCGGCCTCGACGCGCTGATCGAACCTTATGAAGCCCACGCCCTTCGACAGGCCTGTCGAGAGGTGCCGGGCGAATCGGCGGAACACACAAGATCACACACTGGTTATTGCGGGAGGTATCGCGCACACGACAATGTTCTCCGAAAACTGCCGCTGGACGCTTCCAGCGATCGATCGATCGATCGATCGATCTCTGCATTCTTTCTCGTATTCTTTTTTTTTTTCCTTTAATATCGCGAAAGAAACAGCGAAGACGAAAAAGAAGTGTTGAGACGACTGAACGCTGACCTCGAGTCGTGCCGTGATTGTCTTCGCGATTTTTACTGCAATTCCATCTAATATATTTTATTTTTACTATTTATACTATTATTATTATTGACGAACTTTTAAATAGCTTTCTTGGCCGTTTAATAATGTATTATTGCATTGGATTGACTATAACGATATCGATTTATAGAACAGTACCAGTCTTATTTCACAAATTACAGTGCATATTCTCGTGTGTTCAAACATCTTCGAGCGCAGCGACAAATTGCTGATATATTTGCATAGATGCCACACGCCCTCAAGAAAATGATTATTTAACTTTCTACAGAGAATTACAGAGACGCAAAGCGAGTGGTTCGGTGCGCGCAGATTCGTTTCTTTACAAACACACCGACAACACGTTGTCGAGTGAACGTCTTTTTGTCTTTCTTTCAATTCTCTATTTTGCCGTTGATCCATTTCGTCTTATTTAATCGGTTTATTATCGATTGACAACAGGTACACAGGAACAAAAAAAAAGTGAAAAAGTGACAAATAAAAAAAAAAGAGTGATAAAGAAAAAGTGAATATATTCAATCGTAGACGTACGTCGAGATAAAAATCGAGAGACTGTAACAGCAAATCATAATCATAACGAATGACAAAAAGCGTAAAGAAACAAAAATGGCGCTCGGGAGGAATATTGGATGCGTGCGTCGTCCGTCATTGTGCGACGAGGGCAGAGATGCACATATTTTTCCTTCATCTCTCCTCATATCGTATTGCCGTTTCGATTTTCGATTTTGCACGCGTAAAAACGGCCGAGTCACAAAAGTCACTTCACATTAAATCACAGTACTTGATATTTTATGTATTCCATTTCAAAAATTTTTTGCACTATTATTTTGTGAAACCAAATGTCACAATTCGCAATTATTGAAATATTGCATAAATGAGAATATGAAAGATTTATGCATCAAAATATGTCGAACGCCATCGTTCGCCAAAGTTACAATTAATTTTCGACAAAATGTCGCTCCTAATAGTCGGGCGCTATAGATTTTATCGAAGGCGACGTCTACTTAGCGCGTTACAAATCGATTTTCGATTCCGCGCTACGCTCGATTACACAACGGGATAAACTGTCGTTCGTACTACTGCGTTGTGTTTTATTAACCACTACGGTGACATTGACGAAGTACACAAGACAACACGTGAAAAAACGAGGTCGCGCAGACGAGAGACGCGCGCATCGCATAGATCGGAAAAAACGGCTGCTTTTCGTTTCAGCTAGAGGAACGTAATGAGGGAAAAGAAAAGAGATTTGTGAGTTACGTACCGGGCAAATTGTCTCCGCCGCCGGTCACAAACTGTCGTACTAAACAGAAACGGAAAAAATCATATCTCGTTAAAAATCCAAATGGCAGCACACGCGATTCGCTCGCCCCTGATTCGTCGACGGATGAGAGAATAAAGCGTGCGCGATAAGACAAAGTGATGGTTAATGAAAGTTAATAAAAAATGCAGAATCAAAATAAAAGCAACGACAATCTCGCGCTCGCCAGCATTTCAAAATCCACGAAAAGATGGTTCTTCGATTTTAAAAATAAATTGTAGAATTTAATTTCAACTGCGAAACTTTTTGTGTGTATGAAATTGGCGTATTATGGAAACTTAAACTTATCGAGAGTTTTGACTTTATTTTTAAATAAAAAATGTAATTAATATTGTTAGTCTTTGAAAAATAAAATGTTTTCTATAATTTACGTAAAACTGTAAAGCTTTTAATATCTGATCAAAAATGATAAAAGAATTCGCAAGACTAATTAAAATGCAAAAGTCCTAGTTTGCTTTGAGCTATTTTTGTTCTTTAATGGCAAAAATTATTTATTTTATCTATTAAAAACTAAACAATTATTCAAGAGTAAGCCAAAATTCTCACAAAATAATACGCAAGCTTTATACAAGCTACATACACAAATTTCGATAATTCAAAATTATTTATTTTCAACGATTTATAAAATGCAGGAGCGCTTTGACAGTGATCTAAATTTACACTTGATAATTCACAAATAAAATAAATAAATGAAAATAAAAATCACAATATTGTAAAATTATATAACAAAATCTAGAGAAAAAAATTAATTTTTTTTCTTTTATTTCAACTATATTATTAAACGTTTCATTGCCGGATCGATTGCCGGATTCGTTGCTTTCGGCGCTGATGATGCTTGCTTTCGTGCAATATATAAGGATTAAAAAATGATACCGCTCTGAATAAAATAAATTAATTGCATGGGACGAATAAGGGGCGAGCGGACTTCATGTATATTATACTACTTGTCTGATCTTAATTATATAAATTATATAAAAAGCGTGAGAGCCAAAGAGGGTAAAAATTGGCGGATCGCGCGTGTTCGTTTTTGCGGGAGGGAAATCAAAGCGATGTCGATCGGACGTAAATTTGAGGGGAAAGAAGCAAGGCTGATAGTTCCGGGTGATGAGATAATAACAATAATGTGCAGACCGACGTAGGTAAGACTGACGACGAGTGTGTCGAAACGTAAGGATGGAAAAGGGTAAAAAAATAAACGCGATAGGGAAATGTACGAAATCAAGATCGAGGTGGAGGCCATGAGGCTTTGTGCGTGCAACTGGTCTGGCTAGGGAGGGGCGTTTGCAACAAATAAATTGAAAATGCAAATAAAATCTATAAAAAAAAAAAAATAATTAACGGCGAGAAACACTGGGGGGAACATCTAAATCGTCATCGTCGGATGGTTCGCCTCGAGAAACGAAACCATGAGTATGCGAAGCTGCATCCATGAAATTGTTAGCTCGTGCTCTTCGAATGAGGAAAACGTGTGGAAGAAGTGTATACAGGCAAAAGAAAACGTGATAAAGTGAATCTGACACGATGACGGTCTCGTTCATTAAAATATTTATCATTATTATTTAAGTTTTTTTTACTTGCACTTCCGTTACCGTTATCGTTTATGGCGCACCGACCCACCCTACAAACGACTCAAACCCCATGGCCTACACATCTGATCTGGATGCATCGAGTCCCATTTAAGACAATCGGAGGTTTCCAATTTTGTCGCTGTCTTAAATATCATTTCTCGCATAACAATTACATTGCGGAACTTCTCACTTCGGCGCGAATCGAGACAAGTCGGAATGCGAATTGACTCGACGGAAGAGGCCGGAATGAGAATCCGGAGACACCGCAGAGAAACACTTTAAACGTGTATTTACGACGATCTGTCGAATGCTCGTTTACAGATATCAATTCATTTCCCGTCGTCGGAAAAAAACTGACAAGTGATCGATTTATTTGGTCGTCACGGAAATCCACCACGAAGAGAGCGCGCGAAAATCGATAGGCAGATTTGTGCGTGGACTTACCGGTGATGTTGTCGCACAGTATCCGCGACGTGATAATTCTGCCGTAAGGACTGAAGAGATTCTCCAGATCCTGCTGCGCCATATTTTTCGGCAAGCCGCTGACATACAGATTCGCGCCTTTGATCGCCTCGCTGCTCGGTCTCGCGTACGATACCTAGAAAAACAAGAACAAAAAAAAATCAGGAAATAAATGCGTCCCAAAATAATCTTTTAATAGCCTCGATAAATATCGAGCTCGAATTAAACGATTGGTAAAACGGCGGGACGCAACGGAGTGCCGCCGAACTATCCAACATTTTGTCGGGCGAGAACAAAAAACCGTGCCCACACGATAATCATCGCTTTATTCTTGTTCGCGCGCGATAAAACCCGCGCGAATCCAGGCCAGCCTATTTATATTGCTGCATTGCCGCGTTACACGCTCGCGTAGATGCATTTAGCATTCTAGAAATCGGATTGAAACTTCACAATGCAGCCGGCTGTCAGAAATAGATTATCACTTGTCCGAATATTGATCACTAAAGATACATTAATTTTTCAATCTGTTTTTTTGCGCTGTCGATCAAATAATAATTACTATTTTATTTGATTTCTTAAGAAATTACTGATTTAATTATGAGAAATAAAGTTAGAAAAATGTTAAAAATAAGAAACAATTTCTTCGCGTTATTACGAGCTTCACGAGGAACAAATATCGAATAAAAGCATATATTTAGGATTGCATTACAGAGTACTCACCTTGATGGTTTTGTTCTGTAAACGAAGACCATTGAGCGTGTTTATAGCCTTTTCGGCATCTTCAGGCCGGTGATAGTTGACGAAACCGTAACCCAAACTCTGACCTGTAAGCAGAGATACGCGCGTCTTGTTGAATATCATAACACGGATTTATTTTCGAAAAAATAGATTGATCGGATCACGTCTGGTTCGCGATGAAAGCAGCCAAACGCGTCTTATCGTTAACAATGTGTCTCGGTAAATTTTGGCGCAATTAAACATTTTCTCGAGAACGGTCAACGAGTTGTCTTTGTGTAAGGTTTGTTTATTCATTAAATGTAATATATGCATCGCAGGAACTCGTGTGATGTAAACTTTAATTTCCCCGATACGCGTCGGAATCAATTTTATGAATGGCGTGGTGGCAAATATATCAACGAGCACTTGGCGAAATGCCTGAAGGCACCGGAACTGTGAGAACACACAAGTAAATTATTTTTCCCTCTACTGAGGAATAATATCGATCTTTCACAACGTTCTCGAATGTTTTAACGCTAGAACGAAAGATGGACGAAATTATTTTATTCAATAGACTGAATATTATTATTCAACTTTGGAAACTTGGCGCGTTAAAATCATTATATATATATACATTTAGATAATTAGTCAAAGCTGAGAGAAAGAAACCTTTCTTTCTGTTATATTTAATACATTTTAGATTCTCTTACTTTGAGATACTTCTATACATTAATATATTACTTACGCATTTCTAATTATAAAAATAATCAATAAAAAATACGCAAATATAATTAAATATTATGTACTTTTAGCGAAACGAGGAAAGAATTGATCCGAACGCGAGATGAACAACAACATATTTATCCAGAGGTGGCAAATGACCGTGATACAGTACTGCGGTTCTGCTATGGTGAGGTCGAGCATAAAGCGGCAAATCTTCAAACTAAATGCCGCCCCCGCTCTCTTCGTGCCGGCTCGAAATAGCGCAACGTCTATACACGTGCTCGCCGCCACACTGCACGGAATATACCCGTCGCGCACGCACGTACAGGCCCGAATTACGCTAGATTACATATCGATATTATGGCAATACGGACAGATTGCGCAAAATGCCATGATCAGTCAGAGATTTACGAGTTGCGTTATATAAACAAAATAGTTGAGCAGTACTATAAAATAAAATTGTTACAACAGAAACATAATTCCTTGGGAAATTATTAGAATAAAATAATAAAATTGTTTCTTTTTTATACATTAATAATATTTTCTAGTCATTGATTTTTGCCTAATCAAACTCAATTGTTTAAATAAAATAAAAAAGAAGGCTCTAGTATAAAATCATGAAAGTAAAAAGTAATTATTGTTTATTTTGAAAATAATCAAAATTTAGTTTTCAAAATCTTGCTAATATCAATGTGAGACATCTAATTAAAATTCTCACGTTTTTTCAAACTTGAATATATGTTATGTTTAAAATAGACTGTTTAAAGTTTGCCAATTCGAATCTAATTCGCGTCTAATTCGAAAAGAAAAAATACAACAAAAATCTTACCGCTGAGCTTATCACGGATTAGCTTGCAGCTCTCGACCTCGCCTATGCTGGAGAACAGAGAACGAATCTCATCCTGTGTCATGCTCTGCGGCAAATAGTTTACGATGAGATTTGTCTTCGACTCCTCCTGCGAGGTCTGTCCGAGGGTCGATCCTCCGTTTTGTTGTACGACTGTGTCCATTCCGTTCGCCATCATTGCAATCCTCTAACGAGTCGTCGTCCCTAACTATGTACGAAATCTGCAAGCAAAACACATACATCATATAACACACATATTACATATATGTCAGATGCGCACTTAATCTCAGATATCATTAAATATTTGTCATTGCTATTCAGATTTAATAATTAACATCGTCCTCGTGTACCAATATTATTGTTAGCATATTATTGACAAAACTAAATATTTAGAGAACTTTCGAATAATTGTGGTAATGCGCCATAGTCTGCATATTTTCTTAAGACTTTAAAGAGGTTTCAGGAAGTTTCACTTGGAAAACACCGAAATAGCGAGCACGAACTCATCGCAAGACGATGGAAGTAACTATAGACGATGCCGATGTAAACACGAAATATCGAAGGACGTAAAAACGCGCAATAACCAAAACAACGATGCACAAGACGTTTCCCGATGTTCGAAAGTTGTAGTTCGAGCGGCCTCGTGTTTTTGTATAGCTTATTCTCATGAACTCGAACGCAAGAACAAGTGTATAAGAAGTAGCTTTTATTATATAAAGGAAAGCGTAAATCATCTTGTAATATTGTAAACGTTATAAAAGAACGAGTCAAAGGAATTTTTCTCACGCATTTTTCGATAATTTTTTAAAATAATTAATTCCAGTTTCCAAGATACATTATTCAGATATATCGTGAAGATAAATTAAAATCTGAAAAATGATTATGGAAATCCTCCTTTTATTTTGTTCAGTAGAATTAACTTAATAGAGTTTTTTTCACAACTGCGAATCTCGTGGAGAAAGAATCTAGTTTTAAAAAATTTATACTCGAGATTCGGTCGTAAAAATCTAACAAGGACTTTTCAAACATGACACGAGAAGAGCAAACGTGACGGTCCGCAAAACCCTGGCGTAAAATCCGATATGAACTCGGATAATTTAAAGGGGCCAACGACCCCCGTTGTCATTTAAAGGGCTGGAGACCCTTTCGTGTCCAAACTACAGAGCGCGGAACATACCGAGTGCTATATAAACTTATGTATATGGTGTCCAAAGCGCATTCGCAAATAGAGAATACGATTTAATATTTATAGATAATATCTCAAAATCAGGGATTTTTCGGAATAAAAGTTTAATGAAAGATTTGAATAACAAACTGCTGAATATAGCAGCGAATAAATAATTATTTCAACAACCCTTCGTTCACTGGAACAGGAAATGAAAGCGTGAATATTTCTTGCACTTTTGGCGTGAATAAATTATGAATTAGACTGGCAGCTGTGCCCGCATTACTGTCCAGAGAGAAAGCAATTAATTCAGAATTGTATCTAAAATAAAAATCACGTTGCTGCAGTGATAACAAAATTATATCAGCAACAAAATATCGATATACATTTTTTTAAATAAAACTAACATTTATTTACGCGAAAAAAAAAGTGTAATCTCTTATTCCAATAACTTGGCGACAAGATACTCTATAAAATTCTGCATAACAGAAATCCGAGATTACGTGAGGAATACTAATAAATTGACTAACTGCAAGTCACGTAACAAACGTGATAAAAATATGAAATATTCACGTTTCGAATTAGGGATGAGTGATCTGGCTCTTTCGCGCGGAACACCCGGTACACGCGCGCGCGTTAGAGCGCAAAGGGAGAAACAAGAGCGAAAGAGGGAGAGACAGAGGCAGACCGAGGAAGGGGAATTACGTGGTGGCTACCGTAGGGTGCCACCACGCTGTTCATGGTTAAGGCGAGTGCATACACGTACACACACGCAGCTGCAGCGACACATTTATCAGTCGACACGAGCCATCGTATATTTTAATTCTCTTTTTTACGCTCCCCGCTTCCCTACACGTCTGCGTTCACTTCTCCCTCTTTCCTTCCTGGACATCAGCTGTCCTTAGGGCCCCCTTTCCCTGTCGCCCCGCGTGCGCGAGCGGCCAGCTCTCTGACTCGTGGTGGTTGCCACCCCAAAACGAGCTGTCCGCAATGCCGCGGGGTAACAGATAGCTTTTATTATGCACGCAAAGAGTGACCGGCCCTCGAGTTTCCGAAATGGACTGGATACGCGAAACTGAACATGGAAATAAATGAGCGATTTGCAGGGGACAGTCATATGTCATACTGTACTTCCCTCGTTAAACATGTTGAGAATGCAACAGTCCGATATATTTCACTAATTTATCCACAAAATGCAATTAGTTGCACTTAATGAGTTATGCATCGCCGATATAAAACCAATTAAATAAAATAAATTATTGTACCGAACGCTACATTTATTTACTATATCAGCAAAATAAAAATGTGGCATTTAACGCTTTAAATGTTAAATTCTTGACATTTTTGTAAGTGATTCAATTTTTCAAGCGCAAACCATCGATGAATAGTTTCATATTTGTGGAAAATTTGAAAAATTTATCTATCTAAAAAATCCTCTATCAGCATTTTTAAACTTCACATATTTTCAGAGAGAAAAATTTAATAAAATATAATGTAAAATTGATGAAATTCCATATAAAAAAAAGGATTCAAATTAAGTCTTGTATTCAGAGTCGGAGATGACTCTACGCGAAGGAAACCGTACATCGTATTCGTAAAATATTCGTCGATCATTCTCTCTTGCGTCCCCTTTGTTTACGAACGCGGGCGATAAAAGCGTCGCTCGCACGAGACAGAAAAGTCGCGGTGCGCTTATCGCAACCCGGCATCTTCCTCGGTATCGATCCGCGCACGGCGTTCGCCATCGCGATATATTTTCGGATCTGACAATGCCGAAGGTGAAAAGGAGAGCCGCCGAGCAGGCCGACTTCGTTTTGTCGCGCGACTCTGCTCTAACTTCCGGACGCAACTCTGTTGTCATTACCGGATGACAATGGACCACGTATGTATGTATGCGGAGTACGCAATGCCGAGGGGTAGTCGGACCCTCAATAAAGCTCCAAATACAATACAAAGATGCGCGCCCTATAGAAAAGCTGCCCTGAGCAAGATATTAAAAATTCTGCTGATTGAACAATAACATCACATATCATTTTCATATATGATTTAATAATATATAATTTCGCAAAACCTTCAGCAATTTTTCGGAAAATATTTTGTCATTTGTTGAAGTATGATTCGAAGTAGTTTGAAAAATTCAATTTTATCTGTAAAAATTCAACTTTGATTTAAAAAGCTCAATTTCAGAGTTGTTCATATATTTGGTATTTTTATTGAGGCTTAGCTAAATCATAAACCAAATTTCAAATTATCAGTGGCATTTATGATGTTATTACGTGCGATTCATGATGTAATCTCTAAATATATTATGTCATCGTTCTTGCAAGTGCAACATTAAAGCAATGTAATTATCGATAATTTTCGCAGATCATGGACTGAAGAACGAAGGGGGATTACACGGTCGGTGAGTTATTTCGAAACAACCCGGGACTATCGATCTGACGAAATCGATAGAACGGAAATACCGCTTTATTCTGGTAAATGCTACCTTGTTATTTCAATTTAGCTGCGTCTCTATTGTGTCGCAAGATAGTAATAGCCAGTCGCTCAAGTTATTATAAAAATTTCATGCCTACTCTCAATGTCCACTTTGAACTCATCATTCTAACAATATTATTAATCCATTAAACGTAGCAATTATCAAATCGATTAGTTCGCAATCTGATTAGAGTCGGTTATCGACGAAACCGAGTGTTCGACGTAATTTCGTAGTCGGCGATTTACAGGAGAAAATACCTTTTACGAGGTCAAAGAAAAAAATTCTTTACCGAGGTCGCGGTTATTCATCGCGCGACCCGGCAAGGACAGATATTGCGCCTAGCATATTCGCGGCGGGCGGTCTCGCGGGTTAAAGTTCGATTTGCACGTACGCTGCGAGATACGATCTTCGGCCGGTGGCCAGGTGGCCATGGCGACGGATCGTGAAAATCGTGTGGCCGGGGCCGATCAATACGAGCGCGGCTCCTCGGTCCCTGTGCCTCCTGCTCTCTCGCTCGCTCGCCCGGCGCTAACTCTCTCTCCCTCTCTCTCTTTCTTTCTCCCGTCGCTCTGTGAGAGCTCCCTTCCTGCCATCGCACCGCCGCCCACCCCTGTTTCAAGGGAGACCCCTCCCGCGCGTATGCCCCTTTCCGCGCGCGAAAAAGCGGCTCGTACGCGGCGTACGCAAGTACAAGCGCGCATGTAAACGCAACGGCGAGCTTGAAAGTTGCGGCAAGGGAAGAGAAAAAGAGGGAGATGCGAGGGGGACACCAGCGCGGCCGCGAAAAAAAAAACGATATACGAACGAACAAACTCACACATGTACGCGTAAATGAGGGGTTGAGAAGAAAGCGCGACGAAAGACGCGGTGACACGTGCTCCCGAGACACGTCGGGAATGCGAGCGATGACGGAGAGAGCGAGATAGAAAAAAAAGGAGACAAGTGTGTCGTATTCTTACATCTCTTTCCTCCCCTTTCGACGAATCGACTGTCCTTCTTTCTGTTTCTTTCTCTATCCGCGACAATCGATGCACACCGTCGGAAAAACGTTTCCTTCAAACGCCGCTCTCTTCTCTCGCTCGCTCTCGTTTCACCCGCCTACCTCAACTTTACGCTGAACTTTACACAGGTCACTTCTCTTTTCGGTACCTGTTACTTGTCTCCTGTTCTTTCGATGCGTGCCTGTCACTCGTCCTTCCTTTCCTTTGTCGCACGCGAAACCGAGCACCGTGCGGCGAGCAGTCAGCCCTTACGCGAGCCCGCGGCTCCTTTCGCTTTGTCGCTGTTTCACCACCGCTAACGTGCACTGTTATCACGCTGCTGCTCTCGCACCACCGCCCGGAACAGAAGGGGAAATCAATGAAAGAAAAGTACGGCGCGAGCGCTCGTAAACCGGCATTTATGCACACCGCCTGACCGTCCTCGGTGCACTTCGTGACGGGCGACGGCCGCGTATCGACATCGACGGCGGTGGCTGCTTTCGGCGTAGACTTGACGCGAAGGGAGAATGGGGGGTGGGAGGAGGAGGGAGAATGACGATTCGGAACGGCGGTCCGGCGTGCAAGTATATACGTGTG